AATCAAATAAGTGGCCTTGCCCTGCCAAAGTCCAGCCAGGAAGGTGAGGGGCAGGTAGTTTTTCTGTGCCTTCTGGAAAACAGGGTGAGGAACTCTGGCTGAAATTCAAGTAAACTTTCATTTGGAAAGGATCTTCTCCTGTTAAGAGGAGTGATAGCTTAGAGGACGTCTCCTCCTTCCTCCTTCTCTCTTATAGCATGTGTTAAATCCTTTTATCTCTGGGGCTCATGGCGTGAAAGGATCATTTGTTTCCTGCAAAAGGACGTACTGTAACTTTTGTGAGTAATTTTCATGCTAGAGGAGCACCAAACGTAATCCTGTCCTGCCTGGCTGCTATTGCCGCCAGTCTGTGGTTGCAGGGGTTTTCTCCTGCTTTGATTAGATCCTTTTCACTTCTTCTGTTGTGGACAGTCATCAGGCAATATTGGCTACGAGCCCAGGCAAGCAGGGGCTCATTACCAGTTATTACCCCTGTGTCCGCCGCTGATACTTGGCACAGGTGGCCAGTTAGGGAGGAAGAGATTAAAAAACCAGTTCTCTAGCACATGTGGAAGGGAAATGGTGACTCTTGTGCTTGCAGTGCTCTCGCCACTTGTTCTGTATTTGTTTCTGCTTTGGAAACAAGTATTTGCTAGGCTTCTGAAAATGAGAGCAATGAGTTCTCATAAGCCAGGTCTTCTGTGGGTGGTGGACCTGCAAGACACCAAATAATGCAATTTGTTTTTCCCCCAGTCTAAACAAAATACATTTTTACCCAGTGCTGCAGTAAGCAGAGTCCCTGGACAAACAACTAATATTGAGCCCAGAGCAATAAAACTGCAGAAAGGTGTGCAGCCCTGTGACCGCAGCAGCATCTGGATCCTTGTGCGACAGCGGTGAGAAAACTGTTTGATCTAAGGCAACTGGGGAGAAAAGGTAAATTCCACTAACAGATGGGTGTCCAAAATTCTGCAGGACAGGTGTGGGATAGATAAGGTTGTTGATCCTGTAGCCATGGCTGCTCTCCATAGTGTGTTGTGGGTCCAGCTCACAGTGGTGCACGTTGTTTCGAAGAGTGTCAAGTGCCTGAATTTCCTTTTCTCGTGGCCGTCTCGGTGGCTGCTGTTCACCACAGACATTGCATTTCAGCCAGCACAAATAAATCTACAAAACATTCTGCTTTGAGACAAGCAGAATAAGTGTTTTCTAGTTTATACATCATTTGTGTTGCCACTTGCCAAAGCGATGCAGGTCATTACTCACCAAGGAAGAATGATTTCTACCTCTGTGGCACTTAGCATCACCTAACTTCAGCCAGGCAGATGGATAGTGTCCCACCTGCCTGCTTGGTCAGTGCCCATTGAATCTGTCCATCCATCCATCCATCCTGCTGCATGGTGGCTCACCACTTCCAAGCAGGAGTGTGCTGACTCCTAAAGTTGCTCTGAGCCCACTTAAATCACTGGGCCTGGCTTAATGATGACAACTAAATTGATCTTTTAACATCTCTTGACCTTAGCAGGAGAGGAGCACTTAGACTGGATGCAGAGATATGGAAAGATAAAATGCCAATAAGCTTTGTGACCATTGACTTGAGCCTTGGTTCTTTTCCTGGTTGCTTTTTCGGGGTTGTAGCACCCCGTGTCCCTTGAAAAAGACCTCACTGTCACTCCAGCCAGAGCAAGCCTAGAAGATCCCACCATATTTCTCCATCAGAAGAGTGACCCCTTGCTTTGGGTCTTTTACCACCCCAATTTTTGTTAAAAGTGGTAAAAACGTATCTGCACCTCCCCAAGGTGGGACAGGGAAATGCTGGGGTAGGGACAATGGTTTCTTGGCTCACAAGGTCCTGACTGGCCACCAAGGCTGGGCCAGAGCCAAAGCATGGACCTGCCCCTTTCTTTTTGGGACCAAACTGAATTGAATTGTCTTTTCTACCTCTCCTTCGATGTGCATTTGCTTTCTGCCTCTCTGGGATGGGGCTGGGGCATGAAAAGGAAGCGAGAGCAGTAGGAGATTTCCTCCACCTTCTTTCCGACCCTTTCTTTATTTATGTCTCTTTTGTATTGTTTCTACTTCTAGGGGATTTATATTATTCTCTTTACCTTTTTTTGTTGTCAAAAACCTTGTCAAACTTTAACAGCCCTATCTATGGGATAGACCCTTTTTGTGGCTAACCAGATGCCTGATCTCTAGCACAGTGCAACCACCACTGAGGATCCAAGCCAGGCAAGTTGGTAATACAGCTAAGATGATGGCTAGATGAAAACTCCCTCCTCTCTTTTGCACCTGTGTTTCCTCTGCTAGGACTTCTGGTTTTGCTTCTTCTCGTGCAGACAGTGATCAATCTATAGGTAATATGACTTCTGTCCCCAAACACTCTTTTCCCCAAACCTGTTGAAGGATCCCAAACCTCCCTCTCCAGCTCCTGTATCGTATCTTCACCTCACCCTGGTCCTGACATGGTGGGGTTAGACTTCCCCAGCGGTGTGAACCTCAGAAACTCAATATTTGAAGAACCAGTGCTAGTAAACAGGCTCTGTAAGAGAAAATACTTTGCCTGTATAGGAACAAAGCAGATCTCTGAAGAGAAGCATTAGGATGCAGCTAAAAAACAAACCTTGGAAGCATGAGTCCTGTTTTGAAGGGTTGGAAATAATATACAAGGGCCTTATGGGGCAAAAATATAGTCCACTTCTGCACAATCATCAAATGGAAGAAACATCCTCCCCAAAATCAGGGTGTTGCCTTGGCTCTGGACATATCCACCAATGAAGTGGCTTGGTGCAGCCCGGTGAAAAATTGGTTGAACCTTTCCCGGGGTGAATTTGAGCAAGTGCCCAGGGCTGATGGTTATCGTGCGCAGTGGGGGAAAATTATCTCCGTGGCAATTGATGGAGCTCCTGCAGTGATTGCAAACAGAAAAATGGACCCAAGTTTTTATATTCAGTCTAGTAGTGGATAGGATATTGCAATATTTTGTCTGGCAAGTTGTCCTTCAGCTGTATTTCTCAGTGAGAAACAGCTTCATAATTTGAAAATGTAAAGTATTCTTTAGAAACCAGCTGCAGATCTCCTTATGTATGACAATGTGAGACAATCGAGCAACGGAAAACCCTTCTTGCTTTGAGACCAAGCTTTTTTCCCACTTAGGTAATGTCAACTCTCAGTGAAATACTTAATGGATTTCCTCAAAAACATATAAGCTATGATTAAAATAGCAGGGTAAAGACCATAGATAAACACATGGGAATTTCATGGTTCAGGTGGTGGCATTAGGGATTTGCATGGTAGGTATAGATGGAGCCCTTCGTTTTCCTGGCTTGCTTCTCCTTTTCCTAAATGCCTCCTTTGATTTTTTAATTATTTTTAAATTTTCCTTTGAAAGTGAACAGTGACTTTAAACATTTTTATGTGACTTTCTCAGACTTTTCAGAATAGTAAAATAATTGGCTAAACAAGCATGTGATTGTACACTGGTGATAATATTTGCAATGGGCAGTTGAACTGAACATCCTTAATAATAATCCTTAAAATAATGCAGCACCAAGTAAATGCTTTTTGTATTTACTTGCAAACTCTGTCCAGGAGTGACCGATTCTTTCAGAGCCAGTAGAAGAAATATTGTTTTCACATTTCACCCAACTGGGAATTTCAGTCTGTACAAGGTTTCACAGAATCAGAGAATGGTTTGGGTTGGAAGGGACCTTTGAAGACCATTCAGTCCAACTCCTACAGTGAGCAGGGACATCTGACACTAGGCCAGGTTGCTCAGAGCCCCATCCAACCTGGCCTTGGACATTTCCAGTGATGGGGCATCCACTGAGGCAGTTTCTCATCACTGTCAATCGTTTGGTTAACTGAGAGTGCCTATTTTATGATGTTTTTTCACAGAATCACAGCATATTAGGAGTTGGAAGGGACCTCAAAAGCTCATCCAGTCCAACCCCTGCCAGAGCAGGAACACCAGACCAGGTCACACAGGAACATGTCCAGGCAGGTTTTGAATGTCTGCAGAGAAGGAGACTCCACAACCTCTCTGGGCAGCCTGGGCCATGCTCTGGCACCCTCACAGTAAAGAAGTTTTTCCTTATGTTCAGACTGAACCTCCTATGCTCCAGCTTGCTCCCGTTGCCCCTTGTCCTATCATTGGACATCCCAGAGCAGAGCCTGGCTCCTTCCTCCTGACACTCACTCTTTACAGATTTATAACCATGAATGAGGGCACCCCTCAGTCTCCTCTGCTTCAAGCTAAAGAGCCCCAGCTCCCTCAGCCGCTCCTCATAAGAGAGATGCTCCACTCCCTTCATCATCTTTGTGGCTCTGCTGGACTCTTTCAAGCAATTCTCTGTCCTTCTTGAACTGAGGGGCCCAGAACGGGACACTATATTCCAGATTACTTTTTATAGTAATTATCTGAGTTTGGGAGTGAAATAAAGCACTTAAGTTGAAACGTGAGCAATTAAAGAAACAAAGCTTGAGCATGCAAGAAGAATGTAACTTTCAGAGTGGCCAGAACTGTCACTTTATTTATCTGAGGCTCATCACCACTTCAGGGATGAGAGAAACTCTCATAGTGGGGCTGGACAAACAGCTCTTGGCATGTCCCTTGGCTGCCCCTTTGCAAGGGCTGGACACACTTTATTTTGGGAATGAATTGCAACACTTTGCACAGGAGTTGGTCACACCACCCATCTGAGGGTGACCTGCCTTTTGGGAACCAGCAGGTCTTGCCCTCCTGCTCATCTTCCGACCCCCTTGAAGCCCTGTGAGTTTGTTTTGGAACTTGCTCAGGCTTTCTCCTCCTCCTTCTTATCTTCCTCCTCTGCTCTGCTTTCTGCTGGACACGGTGATACCAGAATGTGTCATCTGGTATGAGTTTAGAGAGCATGAGGCAAGCCCTGAATGAATGACTCACGGTTTCTGGTCAGAATTTATTTCTACAGATACCTGTTCTGGGTGGAAACTAGGGGTAGTTTCCTTAGTTTAAAGTTTATCTTGGCATTTTTACTTTTCCCTAGGTGTCAGCTCTCAGGATGTTCCAAAGACAACTGCTGCGAGCCCAGGAGAAAGCGGGCAGGCCATCGTGACTACAGAAAAGAGCAAGGTGCAAGAGACGAGCACTACAGGAAACCCACCATCCACTCCTGTGATGTCACCTACCACCGTGA